AATAACGCAAATATACATTGACTAACAATGCAGCAAGGACTAAATAGTTACCTGGATCTAATTCTCAGTGTTCCTTCACTTAACACCTCATCCTGTTTGAAACGATGCACTATCCTGTAATATCTTTTCTTCGGAACACTGCCTGCCTAATTTCATATTCTCGAGTTCCATTGCCAAACAACGAGGATGACTACTCCAAAAACATACGGTGAGTTTCAGCTATAAGTTTTCTGCAATCATAAGTTCATTTTAAATGGCACACACAGTTATCTGGATTCATTCGGTTGTTCTGATCCGAGCGAGTGGCAAAAACGTCAACAGCATCAAGCACCATGGAATTAATTGCCATACTGCATGTTTTATTCTGGATACTTTTGGATCATCACTACTCCTCACGAATGGCTTTATATATGTCGTCCATTGAATAATCTAATTTTCAAAAATAACCCAGGCGAGTTCAACTATTTTACTTAGTGATTTTTTGTACTTAACATGTATATGTTTTCCGGTTCCTTTTGCTATATATTTGTAAGTGTCCCTAGGCTAAATGCAGTAACTTCTTATGGAATGTTTATAACGCATCATATTCCTGCCTGAAGTTTCACAAGCAGTCTAAACTTTAAAATTATTTTCTGGTCATGTTCATTATTTTTAAATCGTCATATACGTCAACTTGTATGTTAACCTGGCCCATACATACGTTACACTATATCTCCATTTCTTCTAAATTTGGAAATCATCTGGATCGCCGTTAACATTTATTAATAAACCCATCATAGTCGTTGTTGCTAATCGTATTTGGGTTTATGGATTGGTTTATCACATTAGCAGCCTAAAATGCGGACATAGTTTAGATAATTATATTACAAATTTAGGTACTATCAACGGCACTAGTCAAATAACTAAATCCCCAGGTAGCTGTTGGCTAAACAAACGTTTAAAATCAAAACTCCGTAACCTACTAAAATTACCACTAAACGAATATTTCTGAATTGAAATTTATAATTAAATTAGGCGTCTCGGATTCTGTAACTACAAATTTCTGATAATTTTGAATCACCTAAAGCAAAAATACCTATTTTTCGACTGGCTAATCCTCAATCAACACTATAACTAGTTTAACATAATAGTTTCAGGATATCGTCATAAAGCATTGTCAGGACTTGACAATCACGTAATATGATTGATAATATTAATGAAACTATTAACAAAATCGGTCAGCAAATTGTCTTATAATTATCATTAAATGGTGTTATCTCGGTATCTTCATCCATTGCAGATGATTACAGTATGTTCCTCTATCAGTTGCTCATTCAGTAAGTATCTCAAATCCTTGTCAGTCTAATTGACGGTTTAGCGACACAACCATGCATGCAAATAATCAGTATAAGCAGTCGAGCAAATCTCCTGCAAGCTGAAAACATCGATGTCGAATTTACCCCAACACTGACTAAGGTTCAAGCTATTATCATAGACATGAGTTGGGAGTGTACTCCCCTTGGTTACAACTTATGTTCTCCCTGATAATCACATGAGCATCACTCACTGTTAATCATCTTGTAAAAACTTATTTAGCCAAATACGTCTTGCAGCACCACATCACCTAGTAATATGACAGGCCTAACTGATTTCAATAACTTATAACCACTATATCTCAATTAAATCGTATTCCGCCTTATGATAAACGGCATACTTGCAACTAACTTGTATGCATCGTCAGCGGTCAGGTATAAATATGTATAAATAGTCTATGGCAACTCAGAACATTGAGTCTAGAGCATGTCTCTTACGAATACACTCATGTTTAAACGATTTGTTCTTAGCTATCTGTCCAAAACTCATATAATTATCACTCATGTATTGAAATTTTGTTTTAATAACCATTCATGTGTATTAGTAGTATTAATAAATTCTATCACGGTCAAGTAAAAACGAGGTTGAGAAAATCTCCACGTAACTAAATAAACCGTATCAAACTAACTGGAACACTAGTTGGAATTCTTTTCCATGGTAGTACTTTTGTTCTTTCAGTTAGCCTACTAATACAGATGAAATTGGAATTCAACTCATATGGACAACTTACCGGCATAATTGTGAATTGGTTTCATAATTTAAACCAAAACTAATACCAATATTAACATTTCTACAATATTCATTACTTTAATATTTCTAAACACAAAATACTTACTACCTATACGTCAAGTTATTAACCAACGGCTATTAACACGCATTGTTTTATTATTATTACTGTAATCCCATTTTTTTATAGCTCAAATAATCTTCACCCAAATTTTCATTTTAAGCGTGTCAAGCATGTAGGGAGATTTTTTTAAAAAAATTATTACATGTATTTCCCGACCAGATGCTGCCGCCTTCTTTTTGATTTATCTTTCAGCTTATCATTACCCGGAGAATTCTACCTATTCTTTGTAACCTCCGGCGCGCGACGATCCCATCCAGTTTGGTGTCGAACCAATATCATGTTGATTCTGGTGGGAGAGTAGTGTAGTGGCATTGGACAATAGCCACACAAAGCTGTGAACACGAGACTACACAGAAAATAGATATTCAATATTTAACGCGGAGAAATACCCAACGATGGAGAAGGCGCGAACAATGAATTGAATGGACGGGAGTTTATCGAGTGGCATGGCTCGGCCATGCAGGCGTGGTCTCTGCTGAATGTTACCTTATATCTTCTATTCATATTAAATATATTGTTCTTTTTCTATCCTAACCTTGTTCTTCATCATGTATTGGTAATTGATACGATACAGTGAGTTGGTGTAGTCGATGGTGTGACTTGCACGTAAGATCTTATAGATTAGGCAGTTATATTATGACAAATCTACAAATTTAGGATTAGGTCTATTATTAGAGCAATACTAATATCATAGTAGACCATAATTCTACAGAGGACTCGAAGGACTTAAAGGGTCACAACTATTCTGAGTTTGACAATACCTTATAATCGAAATGTTCCAACCTAGTTAAGTCAAAAGTCAGAAGCGAAGAGGTTCAAAGTAATATCTGATGGGCGATCAATGGTAAATCGAAGTTGACCGACGGTTGTAGTACATATGCAGCACGGCGTGTCCACTCGTGATCTAGTGCAAGTGCGGTACTGAGCTACTACAGCTAGATAAGGCGAAGACTTACAGAACTATTGATTTCGGAGATTTATTTACAGATGCAGACTCTTTAGTTAATTCACTTTTCAGAAGGAGGTATACAAAGCCTTTGCCTCCACAGTAGGTGCCTTTGTCAGGTGATATAACTGCCAGCGTTTTGTCTGTAATGGTGACAACTGTTGAGTCATCTTATCACAGAGGTTCTTCCGTTCACTGGATTGGGGACAAACCGAAATCACTTGTGATGCGGATAAAATCGCTGTATTTGGCTGAGATTGAAGTCATTTGAAGTTTCAGCATTGTCCAGAATTAAACGGTGAATTTAGAGCACCTGGAGCAACAATCATCATAGTTATAAAATAGGAGGCCTTATTTATCAGGAATAGGACTGAATAATACTGTGGTGGACCAGACGATATATAAACGCGAAAAGTAGTTTGGGTTGTTTGTCTTGAAGTCGCACGGTTTAGTGCAACGGCGTGCTTTCTCACCATAATTTGAATGATACCAACAAATTCCGGCTGCCCGTTTGGGTGACCTAAGACGATGTCTGGATACTGATCTCTTTCTGGACGAAGATCTGGCAGGTCGAGAATGAAAGGTGGCTATAGTTGCCTGCAGCGATGCTAACTGCTGTGTTAACTGTGTTATTTGTTGCTGGATGTTGAGTGCGTCGCTCATGTTTTATCTACTTGAGGATTGTATCGTGTTAACGCCACGACTATCGGGATATATTTCTATCATTTTATCGGCCATGTCTGCTAAATCATCAAGACTGACAGAGGCTCCTGATATGCTGAGGATTTATCTGACGTTATGTGGTAACCTTTGAACCACATCTGCTCAAGTAATGCTTCGTCTAACTTGTATGAGCCTGCTAGGTGTCTCATATGTCTAAGAAACTGTGAAGGTCTTTTGTCACCTAACTCGCATGCGGTTAGCAGTTGCTGTAAGCTTTATTCGTCAGACTGTGATGTACGGTGGATTACTGTGGCTTTTATTTTGTCATAGGTGTCCATTTCTGGTACATTATCTATCAGGTCTCCGACTTCTGCTGCCACTTCTGTGGGTAATACTCCAACGACGTAGGCAAATTTTGTCGCTTGCGAGCGTATAACTCTCGCCAAAAATAGTACCTCAACTTGTGCAAACCAGATTCTGGGATTATTAACACCGTACGTTGGTAATCTTAACTCAAAATAGCGTTGATCGAGCTTAAATCATTATCTTCTGGTTGTGAAGAGTTTAGCGGGTTGGTCGGTGGACTATCTATATCAATGAGTTTGCCCGGAGAGTTCATAGTGGGAAAAATAAAAATGGTGTCGTGTCAAGTAATAATAATAAGAAAATATATGCAGATATATATTGTAAATGTCTATAACAAGTTCGAGGCTCACCAAATAATTGTGGCTGACCAGACGATATATAAACGCAAAACGTATCAACAAAGTTAATAAAGATCAATAGAAATGTTAATGTATATAAGTTAATTATTACAAATACAATAGAAAGTTGGGACTTTACTTAAGTTCACCAAATTGATGCATGTTCGGCTTTGGTCTGGTACTAAGAAACCACAATTATAAATGCTTTGTAGTTCCAATCTGGTTGACGAACTCTCCAGTGATATAATCCAACATAGGATGTGTTATATATTCCAATTACAGCCTATAAATGTAGATAGTATTTGATTTAGACTTCAGTTAACTCAATCACAAACGAAGATAGAACGAGGAATGTATGAGAAGTAGTGTATTTGTTAGCCAGCAAGTGTATGTCACGCTATGTGGTTGCACAACGGTAAAGTGTGTTCAAGGTCATTGACTAAAACAACAGGTACAGTCGTTTAATTATAAATATACATACAGTGAAAGGTTGACGAAATAAATACAAATAATAATAAAAACTATTTACAAAATAGGCTTGTCAGGTCTATCATCACAATACTTATTATACAATCTACTGACTATAAATGTAAGAACACACTTAAAAAACATGCAAAAAGCTCTGACAATCCACAATGTTACATGTAAATTCAGTATTAGCAAATATTAGATTTACGGACGTTTTAATTAAGCAAACAGAATAGGTGGATATTTTGTTGTTGGGAGCAATTACGAAGTTTTTCGGTACTTCTGCGCATGTTGTGGCATTGCTATTGCCGTAAGATCGGTGAGCTTGTAGGTACCGTCATTAGGACGAAGGTGGGAAGTGTAATAATAGCGACAGCATGTGGGTCTGTTTTGTCTGGGGTATTTTACTTTACTGTCAATGGTTATGAACATGTAAAAATGAAGGTTTGAGGGAACTACTGTTAGATAAAGCTTTTTCATTAGACTCAAAAGGCTGATATTAGACATCTATCGCTTGAAGAAAAGTTCCGCACCTTCGCCTCTTTGCGATTTAACGGCGTTTTGTTGATGACCCCTTCAGATTTTTTACGTTCTTTGGTTGATGATCAAAAGCAGGGTAAATCGTTGTTTAGCCTATACTATGAAGTCTAACCAGTCAAAATGATGATAAAAAATGAACCGCAATTCATCGAGAAAATAATGACTAGAGCATCTAAGAAGAAACATGGATCTCGTTTTTTTCGAAACCTCCAAAACGATGGGATAATAACGTTTTCGGAATATTTGTTCCTGCTGCATATACTAACAAGTCTCAATACTTTTTGGTAACGTTGATGTTTTTCAGAATCTTCGTCGGGTTTTGAAATAGCATTCAAAATGCTTGATAGGGATCTAAGTGGATCTGTTGATGCTAGAGAATTCATGATCGTTAGTGATGATGTTCATATACGTACTTACCATGATTTCAGTTGAACCATATAATCGCAGAAAGTACCGATGATATACTTGATACCGATAGAGGGGCATGTGATCTCGTAAGTTAAGAGCTTGTTTGACGACCTCAAAATATAGTTGCTTCCGGCAGACCAAGCATATAATACAACTCTTATGACTCACCTATTTGGTTATAATAAGAATCATAACCTGAGCTTTGAGGAATTTAAAAGGTAAAATTATAGAGTAAATTTTTATTTCAATAGATTCATGCGTAATGTTCAAACAGAAGCACTAGAGGTTGAATTCCAGGAGTTTTCTTCAGGCTCATCTGCAATTACACCAGTCGATTTCGCTCGTATTATTCTTCGTTATACCACAGTGTCTACTTCTGAGTATGATGCATTCATAAATCGACTTGAAAAGGCTGTTCCCTCTAACATAGTTCGTTCAGTTTGTTTTATTTAAAACTATATTTTAGGCAATCTCCTTCAACGAATTCCAGAAATTCTTCATGTTTCTAAACTGTTTGGATGATTTTGCACTGGCAGTAAAAATGTACACTATTGCAGGCCAGCCTATATCACTACGTATGTTTGTCACATTTTTGCTTTTTCTGCAAATAAGTTTTGAAAAATAACAAGTTGATGATTTTCTAGAAATTTAATGTTAGTTCAGCATAAAATTTTGTCTTTAGGTACCTTCAAGTGACTTATAATCTTTCAACAAAATATCTAACTACTGAGTAGTTCATTTAAATTGGACTAATGAGTCCGTACTATTATCTTAGAAATTTGATTTTTAGTAGCGAGCTTATTCTTAATCTCGGGATATCTATTAGTTTGGTTATTATTTTTTTGTTGAGATGCAAATTAAAATATAGTATCATTCACGTGTTGGCATAAACGCAAATGACAGATATACCGGATTCACTGGTCTTATTAACAACTTTCGATCACGACTGCAGAGTTCAAGTTTTAAACACCTGCAACGTGTCGCTTAAAACAATTCTACAATGGGTTATTTTTCCACGTTTTGGAACGTGAGGTCAATGGGGCTAGCAGTCATACCGTATCTGATCTCGACCTGTTTCGATTCATTTGATTGTCTCTTTTGGCATCTCTGTTGGTGCTGGTTATCTGTAACAAAATCCTCATTTTCAGTAAAAATCGAATGTATTTGAGAAGTTTGCACCTTTTTGAAACCTTAACTTGGAACTCTCAGTTTTACTGTTCTTCAACAGGCCTATCTCCGATGACTGGCGATAAACGAACAAATTTCAGTCAGTATAAAATACGAACTCCCAAATAAGTCGACCCTTACATCATGGATGTAACTTCAGTTGAGCTTTCTTTTTAAATATATCTAGATGTAACAAATGATGTATATGAGTAGTAGGATTAGAGCTGAATTATACTAGACGGCTTGCCTAACGCTTTAACTAGGCTAACTCAACTTTATTTGATGTTCATAACATCCAAAATTATAATAAGTTTTTCTTTAACTAATTTATTAATCTCTTAATTATTTTTAGACACGTTTAGTTTTTAATCTTTTCTAGCTGAATTTAAGCGAGCTGTTAAAGCATGCATTGGTAATGAATTAAGCTCTGATGTTTTAACAGTCCTGTTTGCCCTATTTGATCGTGATGAAGACAATTGTCTTAGTTATAATGAATTCATTCACATCATGCGGGAGAGACATTCTGGAGGACTGTCGGTATGTTATCCAAATTGGTCATTAGTTTTACATTTATCGCCTAACCCATTAGCCTTCTTAAGGTATTTCCTTTATGTTAACATAATATTAAAGTTTTCAAACGTTTCACGTTTTTAATTTGCTACCTGTCATTAGACAAAGAAGTATTACTCTGTTCATTTAGCGTTTCGTTTCTTTGGAGACAAAACTTTGTGGGTTTTATGTATTCGAAACTTACATTTTTTTTCGTGAGCAAGGTTAAATAAACACAGAAAATAATATTGAAATCGTTTGCTGAAGTTTACTTGTTTTATAATATGTTAAGTAAGCAATATATTCTTAAAAAGGAAATAACGTGATTATTAAAGGCATGAAAAGCAACTACATTTTGTCGCGCAGTTATTATTATGTCACACAGTCAAAAACATTTAGACTTTCGTGTCATTACCATGGTTTGGGTCATGCGATTAAAGTAAAAACTTCATATATTAGTTATTAAAGCAGTTGAATTTATTACAAGAAATTAAGTTTGCATAAACTGAAAGTAACATAAAAAGAACTTTATATTTTGTTGAATCAAATAAAATGTACACAAAGTAACAATGAAAACTGCGTGGCCCCCATCTATCCTGACAACCTGGGATTTATGTTTTGTCCTTGATATAGGCCATACTGTTGAATTTTTTAGCTGATAATCGGTTTAGAAAGAGAAATGGTTATAGTTTTTAAACAATAGTAGATGTTAAAATTAAGTAGTTTTCATATGGCATATGAAATCAGAATAATACTATATCCTCAACAAGTCACTGACGACATTCACTGAATTCGTGTGCAAAATTTAAGAAACTTGATGTGATAACCGTGGTTTCATAAACGAACAATATGTTCTGTTTCAATTTTAAACTAATGAATAAAATATTATATGCTTTAGCTTTACACTTTAATAGCTGGAAATGAAAAGAAACCGTTGTTTTACACTTTCTTATCCAACGGCCGCATATTTAAATAAAGATTTTTATGTAAGCTTAATGCCATCTAGGCCATATTGCACGCTAAGAAGGTACTAAGGAGCTTCCCTTGGCTCATTTTCTGATCAAAATTTTGTTTGATGGAATGGTTAATTAATTGAAGCAAGTATGTGAAGCATTTATTCTTTGATTACCCCGAAAGGGACATAACTGTATACATGTTCACAATTAAAGTGTTCTATTATATCTAGAACTGATTGATCTTATTTATCCAGAATTCTAGAAAACTCACCTTACAAGGTTTAATTATTGTGTTAACCCAAACATGATGTAAATGAGTACCTGAAATATTTCAGGTTATCAACAGAACATAGTTAGTTTCACTGATTATGCATAGATTAATAATAGATCTTCTACTGTCACGTACGCTATGCTAGATGGGAGTTACACTTTTTTAGATTACACTTGATTCGCTTTATGGGACCGTTTTCCGACATCTTAGTTTGACAGTAGCAGTATGTGAAATGTTCTCTGGGAGATCTGGACAAAATATAGCAGCAAAACATTTGATCTGTTTTTACAAACTAACAGTACAAAAACATATCTGATTGGTTTTCGCAAATCAAACAACTTTATTGTAAGAGTGCTTCAACACAAAATAAAACAATGTGGTTTCCTTCTGCGTAAAAGGTTCATCTCAGTGTAGAATAAATTGAAGCCATATTACGTAGTTTATGTAAGCTATAGTTAGTCAACCTGAACCTCATTTTTAAGAAGCATCATAATAATTGTGTAACACGCGCACGCTTTTTGAAGTCTGTGAATAATAAAAAATGTACCATTGAAAAGCCTTTAATATATGGAACATTAACTAGAAAGTCATTTTATTAAGTTTGTTCACACAACTAGAAAATGAATAATTACAAATTTTCTTTTGTTTTTGTTTCTTTATACAGCGTACTTCTAAACATAATCAGTACACAAGGATGTTTCGAAAGTGTCTAAAACGTGAACTCCAAAGTTCAGTGAATTGAGGACAAGAATAACAGTGTCATAATTCAAACTTTAAAATCAACTCTTACGCTTATATGAATTCAATATCATAACTCATTATTCCTCTCTTCGATATTGAAATAACAACAATGATCCAAAGGATCAGCTTTATTTTGTTCAACTGAATTATAAGCATATTTATTTTTGAATGAATGTAATGGGTAAATGATCAAGTCTTTGAATAATGCATAGAATACGAAAGTCTTTCATGTGGATGTCTTGAATTGAACGTATAAACAAGTCAACAGACTGAACCAGTTTCATGCTAACATTTTACTCCTTGCTTACGCTTGTTTACATAATTTTTCGATGAAAAAATGTATTTTCTCATGAAAATAACTACTTAGGATGTCTGGAACCGGGACTCAATTAGGCTATTTTATTCAATGTTAAACAATCTGGAACAAACGATCAAGGTATGGTATTTGATGACTCTCTCTGGCTGATCTATTTAGTTTCCTCAGAAAATGAAATAGATAGTTACTAACCATTTCTGTTTTTGTTGTCTAAGTTTATTAGCCATAATTAGATAAATATTTTTTAGTTAAAAATCATTTTCATTGTGCATAAAATTTCTAAATCATACACTTGTCATGATGTAATTCAATAGAGTTTTGTTCGATTTGTTTTTTCCCAACAACTCATGTGACAGACTTTATGAACTAGTTTTTTTCTCATTATTTGCACTAAACCATATGAAATTTTTTTAGTTTATTCCGGTCATTTATTTACTCTGAAGAATTGGCTTACATTAAGTCACGAAATGTCAGAAATACAATCCTTTTATTCATTGGAATGCAAGAGAAAATATATAATTATTATTAAAATATAAATGAACAACAGTGTATATAGATCCAAAACCGTTATGTAAATCCTCTTGCTCAAATTATGACGAAAGAAATTTTATTTACTTTGTTTCATTTCTTGATACGATATATTTTTATTACACAAAAATATTCTCACTCCCTTTTTTATGTAATGAAAATATTTCATTTTGACGAATTTTATTAATTTATTTTGAAGCAGTAACATTCCCTTTTGTCCTTATACTTAAAATATAACATCAAATAAAACTTTTAATCCATTAAGACAATGAAAGTTTCTAGTTGCCATCTATTTTTTAAACTAGTCTGTTAATATGATTTACAACACTATTTGAGAATAATCTCTAATGTACATAGCTGCACTTTTGTGTTCTTTTTGAAGAAGCAATTTTTAAAACGATTTTCAAAGTAACTTGTAATATTTCCCTCTCTCAAGCTTAGTCGTAATATCAGTTGATATAAACTACTAAAACATAGAAATAAGAACATAATAAAGGTAAAATGATATTTTATTTTGTTTCACTAGATAATTTGATGCATATATATATATATATATATATATATATAATGGCGTGTAAACCTAGTCAAAAGTGAGATAATAAATCACTGATAATAAGGCGTCACTGTCACGTCATTACAATTTGTCCGGATTTAAATATATAGTCCATAGAGTTTGGATTCCGTGGTCAGAGGGTATTATTTTTGAATTGAGACTTAAGGATCTTGGGTTCTAATCTTTCAAAGTGTTCTGATGAATAAAATGGTCCTAAACTAGGACAAAACGGCTTTTTAGTTCTTTATGGTTATTCAGTTAACTATGGTTTTTAATGAGAACTATTTTCATGATAAAAGACAATTTATCCTTTGTGAGGCTTCTTAAGCATAACTTATTTTTTTGAAATATCCTCCATTTTTAAGGGGATTTCTGAAGTAGATAAACTTAACATCGTATATAATATCTGTGATGTAATAGTGAATTTCATTCAAAGCCATACGAGCACAGGGGAAGCTAAACAGAAGGATCAACTAATATATGGGTTTATTAATAAAATGTTCAGCTGGGTTTTGCTTTATATAACCTGAGGTTAGTGGGTTAGGAATGATATACTTCGAAGTATTTAATGCTTTAACAATAAAAACTAGTGAAAGGAATAAAATTATTCAAATAACTGGTGTATCTGTGTAAAGGCTTAAAATTCCGTCTCAATAATTGCATAAACAGTCAGATGAGTTACGTAAGGGGCAACTGAACATTAGAACTAATTAAAAAGAGACCAGAAAATAACTTAGTATTTTTCACAGTATTTTTATACTATCAGTGATTATTCTCATTCTTATTTCTTTGGTTTATTGTTTCACTCTCATAAATGTATAAAAGAGTAAGCTACCTAAAAAACAATTTAGCAAAATATGTAATAAATTAATTGGTAATCTGATAAAACTATAAATCTGTAGCGGTTTATACTTCTATTTTATAACAAGAATGTCTTTCCCTTTCGGAAAAATGGTTAAGACAATATCAGTGAATAAATTTCGAGGAAGAAAAACAAAACAAAACTTCTCATAATAAACAGAATTGTTGAAGTTCGTTTATTTACATTTAATTATACATTGAATTGATTAACTTGTATCTGATTTAAATTGCTTCATTTTAAATTCATCGGCTATGACTGAATATATAAGTTCCGAATAGGTTGTATATTTAAACGAATATTTATGAAAATTGATAGTTATTTAATTCAATCTATCCAATTTATTAGGTAAGACATAATATTTCTGAAAAAATATTCTTTAAAAGAAAGTAATTTATAACGTCAAATAGATAACCAGTTTAAAATACTTTTATAGACTAAAGCGTGATAATTATAAAAGTACTACATAGATAGCAAATTAAAATAAAGTTAGATCTACTATACTGTGTTAAAGATTGTTAAGAGTTTATGTGACGCTGTAGATAATAAGTACAGTTGATTATCGCAGAGATTTTCACATGATTGAAGTATATTTTTCTTATTGATTTACAACCTTTGATTTAATGTTCATGGGTAAGAAAAACGGATTCAAATATGAAAAAGAAGGTTGCATATGATAATCTAAATAGACATATTCTTTTTATCCCGTGTAGTTGTGATTCAGACTTTAAAAAGGGGTTTCTATGATGATGTTGATCAGTCTAAAATAATCAATTTTTTTAACACATGAAGTTAACTTCGATATTTCGTTGTCACTTAAAAGATAAAAACTTATCAATACTTGTATAAATTGAAGTTATCTTAACTGTATAAAATTATTTACCAGAAAGGTTAACTGAGAATATCCAAAGATGGCAGAATGTAATTCATTGCTAGCTTACTTTTACGCTATTTAAGAACATAGGGAAATTACAAATATGGTCTACTTTGATCCATCAGTTATGGAACCAAAAAATGACAGTCTATGGTGGTTCATACAGAAAAGAAAAAAGAAAATGAGTCTAAACAGTATGAGAGGAAATACACCAAAAAATTAGTTGATTTTAGGCGCTTTCTTAGCATATAACCGCCTCAGATGATACTATATTCACTGTCTTTAAATAATAAGACATTTACCAGCTATTCAATAAATATCAACTTTAAATAGTTGCTGAATTTTGCAAGAACAAAGCATCTACAATTAATATTGATTAAAACCATATCCTGTCGACCACGTATTTTAATAATTCAGAGCATGAGTCTTTTCTTTAAATCATTATTTATCTAAGGTCACTCAAACTTATCAGTATTATGCAACTTGCTAATCTCGTTAGGCATTTTGTCAAGAGGTAATCCACTAGTCGGAAAATTTTAATTATTGGGATTACAAGTCCAAATTTCGGATTAATTTGTTCCCAATTATTGGATGATTTCATAATCTCAGGTTTGTCCCGAAGATTTCTTTGAAAAACACAAGATAAACAATAGTATGAAATTAAAATAATGAGATTTGAATTCGTTAAATAAAGTACTGTCATAAATAAAACAGTCTTAAACCACAGATACCCACAATATATCGTGTAAAATAACATCAAGTCAAAAGATGTTTCCAATTCTAATTTTCTTACAATAAGATTATAGTCATTATTTTAAGTACTGTGTAACATTTTAACTCAGTGATATTATGCTAATTCTCTCATAAACATAATCATTATTATAATCAAATTTCAAAAGAAAGACGGAAGTTAATTCTTCAATTTTTGGCTTGTTATTTGTATCTGCAAAATGTAACCTTGTTAAAAAAAATTGAAATTAATTAAAGAATCATCCTTTTCCGATGTGATTTTTATGTTAGCGAGAAGTTTTATTAATTCAGTGTCTAATCAAAATCTCACAGGGAACAAGCTCATGAAAGAAACATTTTTAAAATGGCACTACTACAACCCAGCTGATAAACTAAACAATTCTGAAAACTGGTGGAAAAGAATTCTGTGATCAATTTGAGTCATTATAATCGAAATTTTGATTTATTGTTGTTTTAGAATAGCAAGTATTCAGTACACAGATATTTAGTGAAAACCATATTTTAGCCATATTTTATCGCGAAATTTTTAGATTGTATTCAACTGGTATGTTAATGCTTCAGTTCATTAGGCTAAGAAATAAAACACCAGAATTATTTATCAGTGAGAAATTTTTTCAAAAGAACACTGAAGATTGAAAGTAATTTGCAAAAAATCCAGTAAAACATTTGAGATGCCTCGAAATAATTAAGATCTGATGTTTCAAAAGAATTTAAACAACCGTTAACAGAGCAGTGTTCTATGCAACTCTCAAGTCGGCATAGAATTTCATCCATGACATTCTTTAATTTCAGCATAAGTATCAAGTACATATGATATAAATATTGAGAATTCTATTATATATTGGATGCCAAAACATTATGTTATGTACCACAGTATTGATCCTATTACGTTCAAATAAATTTTCTACAAAATACCTCACCCAGTTTCTGATGCATTATATATATATATATATATATATATATATATATATATATATATATATATATATTAAAAATTTGACAGGATCTCTGTTTGCTACGCAGATAAAAGATAATAGAGAACAGTAAAAAAGGCTTTGCTATTGATTTAATAATAAAATCTGTGAATAAACCTAAAATTCCAATACATATTTGACGGAATCGCATTCCTTTTTTTAACAGTAACAATTTTACACAACCATCAATCACTACATTTTGTGACAAAATTAGATGGAGTTTACTTTGATTTATTTTTATTTAATAATGTCAAAGTTGAAGCTGTCTGTTCATTTTTGAATAAATATTATGTAATTTTGAAATATTGATTTTTAGTGCTGAACTTTAAAAAATAAACATTAGCTAATGGGTCTTAAATAGGATGGAAAGTTCATCCTGAATTCTGTTGCTAGCCTTATTTCATCTATTCTATACCAGCATATTTTAATATTAATTAAGATTATGTATTAGCATGAATTTAAGACAATTGACTATTCAAATTATAACGTTTAACTTCTAGGTTATTAGTGAAATAAAACTAGTAATATTGAAATATATCTAGTAAGTAATGTTAGCAACAATAAGTTTGTACTTCACTTGAAACCATGAAAATAATAAACAGAATATATATATATATATATATATATATATATATATATATATATATATATATAACATAAAATGAGGGGACTGATAATCTAATTACAAATATGATCAAATATTTAGTCAAATATTATGTAATTTATGAAATGTTGTAAAATTAATTCGAAGTAATATGTGCTAATGAAATTCTTCACGCGTTTTTATGATCGATAAAATTAATGACACAAAGTTATGTGAATAATGGTCATAATATATTTAATTGAATGAAATCATGAACCGATTGATGTTAGACCACCATTGAAAACCTGGAAGCACTGGACGGCCGTTTCATTCTACTGTGGGACTCCTCAGCAGTGCGCATCCACGATCCTGCTCGCGGGGTTCGAACCCAGGGCCTTCGGTCTCGCGCACGAACGTTAAACCTACTGGACCACTGAGCCAGCATCAAATGGTGTTAATGTCTAACCTCAACCAATCCACGAAGAGCTTCCTGGTTTCCAATGGTGGTCTAACATCAATCGGTTCATGATCTCAACAAAAAAACTTAACAATCTCCACAACCCCTGAACTATAATATTTTAATGAGATAAATCTAGGCCATAAAATATACAAGTGTAATGGTCATTTAATAATTGAATTTATGAATCGATTGAATCTAGACCACCATGAAAAACATGAAAGCATTGGACGGCCGTTTCATTCTAGAATGAGACTCTTCAGTAGTATGCAGCTATGATCTTGCCCCACGAGATCCGAACCCAGGATCTATAAAGATTATCTTGTGATAAAGATGACTGTTTACTTATTAGGCTTAAGGTTGACCAAGGTAAAAGAAACGACTGTATATATTTATTATCACAAAGAGCCCCAGATTTGTAATCCAACTAACTACTGAAAGAAATTTAAATCTGACGGATTTCGGCAGACAATTATTCACATGTAAAATTATCGAAAACGAAAGATGTATGCTAGCA